AGTAGTTTCCAAATGTTATAAAAGCTATATATTAAATATGGAATTAAATTCTGAAACAGAATGTTTTAAAATGTGCGCGCAAGTTGGAAACATGACGAAAAATGTTGTCACAAATCGGATTAAATTATAAAAATATTTGTGGCGACACAAACTTTCTGATTACTATTTCAGAAAGCAGCTATATTATGTAGTCAGCTGTAAAAAGTTGGAAGTAATTTCTTTTAAAATAAATAAGTTATCCCAATTCTTGCAACAGTCACCTATTTGAACATATTATGGGTTTTAAGGTGTATGAGACCCTTTAAGTTCAAGCCCGAGTGTCGGCTTTATTGCACACCTCCAAGACAGAGTTGTGTTAAACTTTAGTTGGAATAATAAAGGGTTATTTCCCCCTTCTCACGTGTTGTTTTCTCCCCCACGAACTCAAGAGATTATTCGCTTACTAGTTCTTAAGATTCCTCACATCCATCTGTAACTTAGAATTACACAATGGAGAATCCTACATATTATCTACTTTTATTTATTGAATAATTAATTAATTATACTTATTTATTGAATAATAATTAATTTTAAGAACTGATGACTTTAAAGTATTAACCTTGACAAAATTGTAGCTCTTGCTCATAATTTTGATAGATATAAAAACATTATATGATTTTAGAGAATAAAAAATATTCTGAAACTCCTACTCATAACAACAACATAAATGTGGACAAGGGGTCAAGTTTGGGAGAAACGACGTTTGGTGTAGTCGGTGTCACCAGCAAAAGAGTTGACATCTAATGTAGGGCAAGTTCCGTAGCAGTTTCTTTAATCATAGCTGTAAAAATGTACATCGTTCTTCAATTTATTTAAAAAACCATTTATTACATTTTTATATCGGATTTCTAAATTGACAAGTTAGTTTTTAATTGGAGAAGTCAAATATTTTAAGCGTAATTTATTGACAGATAAAACTTGCCAAGTTAGAAATCCGATATCAAAGAAAGTAATAAATGGTGTTTTAAATAAATTGAAGAACGTTGTACATTCCTACAGCTATGATTAATAAACTCCTATGGAACTAGCCATCAACTCTTTTGTCGGCGACACCGACTACACCGAACATCGTTTCTGCCGAACTTGGTCCCGTTTTCACACTTGTTGTTGTTATCATTTCATTAATAATTAAAAAGCTAAATTCAAGGTTACGTTCCTATTTAGACACTTAAATTAAAAAGTGGCTAAACAAATACGTTACCATAAATTTTATTTCCTTGTACGAAATAAAAAGGAAATTTTGTAATCGCGAAAAATTTCGGGTTATCATATTTCAGGAAAAATATCCATTTTGACTGCTATCGAATGCAATTTAACAATGTTTCTGCGTGACATCTGCACGTAAGGACAGAATATAAAACTCTTTTTCCCCAATCGAATTATAAACCGATTTAAAATGGATTCAAAAGAGACTTTTTCCTGGCCTCCGTCCGTACGTATGTATGTATCTCGCATAACTCAAAAACGAGTAGCCTCAGAACTTTAAAATTTTGTATGTAGGACTGCTATAACATATAGCTATGCACCTCCTATTTTGGTTGCAATCGGCCGCACTAAAAGCATATAAATATATGTATATAATATATGCACTCTGTTACTCGGTTAAGTGAGTTTAGTTTCTTTAATCTTATAGGTTTGTAAATTGTGCATTTTGTGCTTTTGTGCTTTAAAAATGATAGAATTATGTTGTTCTTATCTCCCGGTTAAGATTTTCTGGTTTTTAGTTTATCTGCATGTTATAGTTGTAGAATTATCAACAATTTAAAAGTTATTTAAGTGCAGCTAAGCCTAATTTTTGCCCCATTGCAGCCATATTTGTTTACATTTGAAACTTAGCAGAATAGTCAATTTGTTCCCAATCTAGAGAAGCTAAGCTTAACAACAACAAAGTAACGTATTCTTTTATTATTGTGAATTAAACTAGGCTTAATTCATTCCGGAATTATCATTTAGTTATTAAATTATCCCATATATTGAGTCAGCATAACATCCACAGCAAATTAAGTCAATTTCTACGCCTTCAGTGTCTTTTTTGTCGAGCGATACAAAAATAAGCTTTCAGTTTTGTTCACCGAAAAATCTGCCTTCTTGCCCACTGGCTGAATTGCTTGTTTTTGTGGAGAAAATATAGTTTTAATTGTAAAAAAATTTTTTAATTGTTTTAACTGAACTGTTTGACTGAACTTGTCGCGAAGTGAGAAAGGATTTAATTAAGTGAGAAATGTATCTCGAATGAAATTCGAGGAATAAGTTTAAATGAAAGGTGGAAAAAATGCGTATAATTTAATATTCCGTACAAGGAAGTCATGTGGTGTACTCATCAGATTTTTTTACCTGCGTTTATGGTAAAAAAAATGATTTCCTTTTATTAGCAATTTCTGTATTTTCTACATCTGTGGAAATATTGCGATTACATTGCACTGGTTGCTTTTTATATTTTCCATAATGACACAATAATAATGTAGTTTTTTGAAGTTTTATATTTTAAAAGGAATAAAAATGTAAACAATAAGTTTAGAAAGATTCATATATTATCAACTTTCTTTTGGCAAACAGTTGTTGCCATTTACGAAAATTTAAATATCTTATTATGTACGATATATTAAAACAAAATTATATTAAATGTTAAAAGAATAAAAATACAATTAATAAAAGGATTTTATACAATAAGCTTTTATTTAAAATGAATATCATAATTAATGCATTAAAAGAAGACAAATAGTTTAATAAGAATAAATAATACTTTTTACGGAATTCATCCATAATTTCATATCGTAAATAATAAAACAATTGAGCACCCACGGTAAATTAAAAAATGTAATGGCTTATACACTTGACAATGCAGTTTAATTCATTAAAGAGTCCAGTGCTTTTATGATCTGCAATAGAAAATTGTAGATGATTTTTTCCTTTAAAGATAATTTTTTAATCTATTATTCTCATCAAGCTATACGATAAATTAATTTAATCCTTTTAGTACATTAACTAATCTGATATCTGAATATTAACCTAAAGTCTGAAAACTTGATCTAATATAGTACAAATCTCTGGAATATTAAACCTGAAAATGAGGGAAGAGTATGCTAAGTTTAATAAATGAAATGTACAAAACATTATCACATTTTATTAAAACCGATACTTCCGTATAGGATTCAGTATATTCTGATGTATCATTTCACATAAATAAATAAAACTTAATTTCAGAATTTTTACCGAGTAATACAGTCACGTGAAAAAGTTTAAGAGCAGTAGCCGTTTTCCTGTATTTAACAGATTGCACCATTTTCGCTTGTAATTGCGTTATCGCATGCGTTGATTGCATCAAACACTTTCTATTGCTATAAATGTAACGTGATCTCGTTTATCAGTAGTTCGTTATTGGATTTTGCGTACACGGATTTTGCGTTTGTATAATTCTTGTAAAGCGTAAAAGATCATCACTTACTGTTGAAAAACGGGCACAAATAGTGGCCCTGCATGAAGTTAGCTTTTCTGAACATAAAATAATTTTGAAGGTAAATGTCAGCAAGACAGGTGTGCATCAATGTATTAGTGAATTCAAAACTTCGGGAAATTATACGGATCTTAATAGAAGCGGTCATCCAATAAAAACTTGTGCACGTGAGATCGTGTGATAAGAAAGATGATCCCGCGATGTCCAACAACCTCCTGCAATAAAATTAGAGCTGATCTGGCTGCAAAGAGTTCCAACATCAGTTCGAGTACTATTTCAAGATGTCAATAAAAATTATGGTTTATTGTTTTCCTATAAAACTGCAAGGAAACCTCGACTTACTCAAAGTATAAAAAAGAAACGACTGACTGTCGCCACACAATATCAGAATTGGACCGAACAATAGTGGAGTACAGTGTTATTTTCCGATGAGTCAAGTATGCAGCAATTTTCTGCACGTGCTAAATGTATTTGTCGCCCATTTGGGAAAAGATATGATGACAGATATACGATTCCAACAGTGAAACACTCTCCAAACCAAATGATATGGGGTGCAATGTCTGCATCTGGTACTGATGCTGTATATTTTCTGCCACCTAAAACCACGATAAACGGCAGTCAGTACCTTAATTTGTTAGGTGACAAGTTGAAGCTTCACTTGGATGTTCACAGATGTTCAATTTTCATGCATGGTGGGATGTCTGGAGAATGTCGACTTTCACCGGTGAAGGTCAACATTCACATAGTCGCTTGGTGTATGTCCGAAATATTTTATAAATACTCTTATTTCTGACTTACACCGGTGAATGTCGACATTCACCATGTACTAATGGTGAATGTTGAACATATATGAATATTATATTTCCTTCTCCGTAATTCATTCGCGAAAAAACGCACTTGAGACTCAGAATAAGAACATAAGAATTTAAAACACACAGTACATTCAAAATTAGAAAGGAAAATAATAGAAGTTATAAACTTACCAAATTATGTGATTCAAATCTTATTTATTGCAACAACTTAAACTATTATGACACTTTGAATTGCACAAGAGGCCCTTGCTTTTACAACTGCATTTATTTGTGGAACACTTCCTTTTGGAATGGCAGCGTGTACATATACTCCTCTCTTTTCGACCTACACCAGAGCATATCTGTGATTGTCGATAATACACCGGTGAGGGTCCGAATGTACAAGAATGTAAAGAAATATTCGATCTTTCACCGACATATTTGGTGAATGTTGACATTCTCCGGTGAAAGTCGACATTCTCCAATTTCGGTCTTTCACGGTAACAACTATACTTCAATAACCTTGTTAGTCTATTTCTTTCATTTATAACATATGTTTTGTTGCGGAATTCCAATAAATCTGATTTTTCCATGTGTGGTCTTAAACTTTTGCACACGACTGTATTTATCATCTGCATATAAGCTCTTACTTGATTTTGCCACACTTTTCAAAAGTCAATAAAATTATAAAGAACTTATTCTTCTCTTTCAGAAATTTCATTTAAGAGGGAACTTCTGATATTCTCTACCAATGGCATACTCTCGGCAATCCTCCTGGCTAGGAGGATGGTCAAATACTGGATATATTCCAGTATTTGTTTTTCTGCTGCTAGCAACCCTTCATTCTTCTTACTCGGCCAATAATGGTAAATTTCATTTTACGTATTTAGTATTTTACGTTTAATATTTAAATTGTATGTGCTATCAATTACCACATTTTTGTTTCTTTATATATGAAAACGAGGCTCATGCTAATCAGTTGTCTTTAAAATGTAACAGAATAACAAGCTACGAAGAAAAACTGATTTGCTACCATTTCATTCATTATAAAGAGATAACTATTTATTTCCACATTGTGACAATAAAGCATTTTGACCCTTCGGTAAATAATTATTGTTGTTCTTAAAAGAATAGTGAAGTTACTATTTTTAATGAATTTTTTATAAAGGACAATATAAAAAATTTATTAATATCCAAAAAAATTATTTAGTTTATTTGGCATAACAGATAAATTTTCATTGTCTTGAATTAAATAGTAATAGTCATTTTTAGTGAGAACTGCATGCTTTTCTGAAAATTTTATCGCCTTTTGTTATCGGGTGCGGAATAAGAAATGTATACATGTATGCATGGACATATGTGCTCATGTATGCATGTATATGTGTACTTACGTATGCATGTATATGTGTACTTACCTATGCATGTGTGTGTATATAAACACGCATATATGCCCATATATGCATTCCCGATAACAGAAGAGTACTAATATTTGTATTGCATTGACACAATTTCTCATAATGTTGACTGATCTTCCTTTTTACTTTTTTCTTTTTTTTTTTTTATTTGACAAATTAAAATGTGAAAATTTAAGTATTCAAATTACCTGCTTGTTTTATTTATATAGTATTTTAAATTAAATAAATTTGAAGTTATTTATAAACGAAAGGTTTTGTGAATCGTATGTTAAACATATTCTTTCTGAGAGTTATTAAAATTTTTCATTAGAAATAGAATTGCTATTTAACCTATCAGTATTTATTTATCTTACAATATATTTACTAAAATCTACATTTCTTATTATATAAATTTAGGCACAAAACATAGTATATATATCAAGAACTAGTATCTTTGATCAAAGATACTGTTCTGTTATTAAGACCGGAGCCGTAGCCAAATGTTTTGCTGAACTCGTTCATTATGAAGTCACCAATGTTTACTTTAAAAATCAATACAAAGTTGTTTTTTAAAAAAAAGTGAAAGAAGGCATTTTTAAATCTGGCAACGAGGATACAAATTCTAAAGGCGTAACGATCATTTGTGTTTTTATTGTTATTTTATTTACCACGGATATTGAAAATTTTGGACTTACCAAATGATGAAGCATATTCCATACAATTTCTTCCAGAACGAGGAATTATTCACTCCAAAAGAAAGTGCCCAAAAACCATAAAATGAAGCCGTACTTCAATTCCAAGGAAGCACCGAAATGGAGATGGGAAGATATGACGTGTCGAGGGAACAAAAAGGCATTACGTTCTCAAATTTTTGCAGGATCGAAAATCAGTTTCTTAACGGCAGCTCGTTTCTTTTATGCATGGTGTTTAGAATTAACTTCTACTGAATGTGGTCAGTATCATCTTGATATAAATCAGTGCTCTGTTGTTGATGTTATATAAGGGAAGTCTGTGACCATGCATGTCTAAACAGTCAGTTAAAATAAGCAGGACTGCTGTTTTCGCGTTGAAAAAAACAACTTTTATTACATTCTTTCTCCCATAGGGACGAAATATTTGGCTAATCTTTGGAATATGGTAAAAGGTAGTTTGGCGACATTTTGGTAAGGCGATAAAGGTTACTAGCTAGGACTTTAGCAGTGTACATGGATAAAGTCAAGAGTGTGCGCAATGCCATTTTTGTGTAATTTTGGGGTGTTTTTGTAAGTGAAAATAGGTCGACGTGTACATGGACACCGTGTATGTGCAATTCTTAAAAACGCGGCAAGCAGTGGGCGATTCTGCACTTTCTCCCAATTTCGGGTACTTACGTATTATCGCAACCAGGCCAAAATTCGCATAAATTGCCAAATTTGGCGACTCAACTTACGGCAACCCTACGTGTTATACGTAGTTTTGTAAAAAGAGCATGTGGAGATTCACAAAATTTTCCTGCATTTTCGTAAAAATTTTTGTAATTTATGAGAAAATAGCAGTGTACATGGATAAAGTCAAGAGTGTGCGCAATGCCCTTTTTGTGCAATTCTGGGATATTTTTTAAGTAAAAATAAGTCGACGTCTACATGGTTATGGCGAATACGGTTTTCAATCAGTGCTAAACGCCGAAAAAATAATTCTGCAACTTATTCAAATTCGAAACCGGAAGGGTTTAATTGCTATTTTATATTTTAAAACAAAATAATATAAAAAACTGTATTAAAAATTATCTGTAATTAATAAATGTACATTTTCTTTCTATTCATACATTTTTACTGAAACTTACAAATAGCGCCAACCTGGTTGCGATAATACGTAAGTACCCAATTTCGCACCTAATCTTCGTCATGATTAAGCACTTTTGTTCCATAAAAGTTCTAGCATAAGCGTAATTCAGCTAGCAGATTGTTGAAAAAAAATGTTGAGTAAAAAAAAAAGAAACATGCCTTTACTTCGTGAAAACAAAAGGGCGTCCAAACAAAAACTAACAGGTTGCTGCAGCAGGGTTGGTCGCCAAATTTTCGCCAAGTTACCATAATCCAAAGATTAACCAACATTTTTTAATCCAAAGGCGGTCACTTATATGCTCCTCATTGACCACTCCTAAGGCCATTTATTGTGGAGGCACCAAATAGGTGGCCACCGTTGTCTCCTATGAAGGGACGGACAGTTTCAGCCATGCCTTTCCCTGGATTCGAACCCGGGTCCTTCGGTATAGCAGCAGGCTTCCCCTAACCATTATACCATCTGGACGGCATTATGGTTAAACAAAAGAATGTTCTTTAGTTGCTGTGCCTAATCGCTCTGCCAGAACTTTGCTAAAAATTATAGAAGAAAATGTTATTGGTGACACTATAATACGCTCAGACTTTTGGAAAGGGTATAACACTGAAGAATAAAAAGTGTGTGTGTGTGATTATGGCAAAGCCTCGAGGGCTATCTGCCTAAGAGGAGGGATGCCTTCGTGGAGGACTTTCTAAGGGAAACTAGCTCGTATATACGTTACACATGGGGAAAACCACGAAAACGCCCATGCAGCCAGCCCGTTCGCGGGATTCGAACCTCGGACCGAAATACCAGTGTTCAGCGACTTTACCGCTCGGCCGCTGGTGGGCGAAGAATAAAATGAGGCCGGATTTTAAGATTTCTGCGTTAATCATAAGTATAATTTTTATCGATCCCGATACTGGTTGTCATACTTCAAGTATTGAAAGGTATTGAGGCAACGCGAAACGGAGAAATGAACTTCAACTGACCATAACCAGTTAGATTCTTATTTAATCGAGTTTATGTAGTAGCAGCAGAGTCTTAAGGGGACTCATACACCTTAAACCCCTCATGACCTTCGAATATGTGACTGTTGCAAGAATTAGGATATTTTATTTATTTTAAAAGCAATTACTTCCACCTTTTTACAGCTGACTACATAATATAGCTGCTTTGGAAACTAGTAACCAGAAAGTTTGTGTTGCCACAAATATTTTTGTAATTTAATCCTTTTTGTGACAAAATATTTCGCCGTGTTTTCACCTTGCGCGCATGAAATTTTAAAAATGGCTAATGGTACATACTTGAAATTTTATGGAATTCTTTATATGGGGACTATTTTCTAACTGAACCAAAATCTGCTGAATATTTTAATATTGAAAAATTTTAAGGGCGAAAACATTTAAACTTTTTGTAATAAAATTCATTTTATAAACTCAACTCTAAATAAAATAAAAATTGAACATGAAATTTTTAGAATTTTAGGTTCAGAGTAGTTTCTAAATGTTATAAAAGCTATATATTAAATATGGAATTAAATTATGAAACACAATGTTTTAAACCGTGCGCGCAAGTTGGAAACATGACGAAAAATGTTGTCACAAATCGGATTAAATTATAAAAATATTTGTGGCAACACAAAATTTCTGATTACTATTTCAGAAAGTAGCTATATTATGTAGTCAGCTGTAAAAAGTTGTTGGTAATTGCTTTTAAAATAAATAAGTTATCCCAATTCTTGCAACAGTCACCTATTTGAACATCTTATGAGTTTTAAGGTGTATGAGTCCCCTTAAAATGCAAATGTTTTCAGCCATTTTACATGATATCCGCCGTTTCAAACCTCGCTAATCGATTTTTTTTCCTTCCTCCTTAATTTCTTTGACAAGTTATTAAATTTACATTAAAAATTTTTAATTTTACAAATATCTGTTATGTAATTTCCCTTGCATTTTTATTCTACTGAACTGTAGATATTTAGGTGATTATATTTCTAATTTTTCGGCGATCATCAACCTGGTGTGGTGTGGTGTATTTAATTATGGCAAAGCACACTAGGGCTATCTGCCTAAGGGGAGGGATGCCTTTCGTGGAGGACTTTCTAAGAGAAACTGGCTCGTATACACGTTACACATGGGGAAAACCACGAAAACACCCATGCAGCCAGCCCGTTCGCGGGATTCGAACCTCGGACCGAACTACCAGTGCTCAGCGACTTTACCGCTCGGCCGCTGGTGGGCCCCGATCATCAACCTGATCGTCAGCTCTTGTCGGTATCTGAATCCGGTCGAGATAACAGAACAGAGCCCAATATATCTCATCTTACTCTATTTTAAGTACTGTTTATTATGAATTAGAGTTCTTAAGATACAAGTTTTTAATGTGTTTTTTTTTTTTTTTTTTGTGTGATATTATCATTAATTTATGATATTTCATTTATATATGATTAAAAGTACAACGTTTTCAAAATATCAAGTTCTGTTAAACTCAAATTTTTAACCTATTTGAACAGTTAACGTAACATTACGAATTAAACAATGGGAAATTTCTTTGATTAAAAATTACAAAGAATGATTCATTTAAAGTCATATGTGTAAGAAAGTCCTTGCAAGGTTTTTTAAAAAAATGTTGCGATTATAATAAACAACACAACAATCTGTGTTTAACTT